GGAGTGGGCAGGGCTAGGTGACCCGGCGCCATCAAAGGCTCGAGGGAAGGCCGTGGGGCGACACTCGTCTAATGACAAGTAATTGACGGATTCAAGGCCCCGCATTACCAGAGGAATGGGAAGGCATTAATTATTTAAAAACGATTAGCCTCGCCCGTGTGTCCTGCAGGCTTTCCATCTCCTTCCGTGAAGACTACCAGGCACACCAGGCGCAGTCACAGCTTGGAGCGCTGAGGGGGCGTCCCAGTTGGCCTCCAGTGTCCTTAACTTGGGCCCGCAGCCTGGCATGAAAGGGCAGGACCGGATAGTGTGCCTAGATTGAGCACTTTTGGTGGTGCCCATAGCATGGACAAAGAGGGACGGTTGGGCTGTTTGTGCCCACTGGGTTCACATCTGCAGATGGCAGTACAGCCTATAATAAATTTCCAGTTAGGGTGATAGGAAATATCCTTGGGCTGTCATCTAGCGCGTCTCAGAAAAACCCAACTGGAAGTGGGTTTCATCCAGGCGTTTAAGGGCAAAGAACCTGGGAGAAGGCCGGTTTACGAAAGAATGGAGGAACGGGTGGACCGCCGCCGAGTGCCCCCCCCCCGTGATAGGCATAGAACTCCGAGTTTTATACTCAAGACAATCGTCTACCGCTGTGCCACACCCCTGGCCCAAAAGAGATCTGTTCTGGACCCTGACAGTCAAGGAAATACTGTGTTTTCAACAGGCTACCGTGGAAGCTAGTTAGGCGACGTTGGTACCTTCGGTACTTTCCCGCTAGCAGCGGAAAGAAGAGCTGGAGACGGGTCTTTCTTCCAAAACCCTGTTCTTCAGCCGCTACGCGCTCAAGTGCAACACCCCAGAGCGCTCTCCTTGCCTCAGGGAAGCATGACTAGGCTGTAGTGGGACCGGGATGACAGACTACCCCGCGGCATGCTTTGACTTTCTCTGCTGGGCCCAGGTGACCTAGGAGGCTCTCTGCAGCGTAAAGGCCAGAGTCACTTCTTGCGGGCTAGAACTAAAGTGACTGGCTTCCAGGAAAGGCACTGTCCCCCCTCCCCCGCACTCGTTTGGAGCTACCCTGGTTTGCTGTGATCCACAACTCAGCAGAGAACAGAACTCAAGAGATGAACGCTCCACGCATGCTATGACCTCTGCCTCTTCAGGCACACACTGGCCATATCCTACTCTAGCTTCTGCGACCAAGGGCGTCCTCATGCCTCCCCACCCAGCTTTTAGGAACTAGTTGCTTTCTGTTACTCTCCAGACGAAAAAAGCTGCAGAGACCAGTCCTCGTTTCTCATCGCCTCTGGAACCCACCCAGACTAAGACACTGTTGGGAGTTTTAAACTCCTAGACTTCTCGTTCTTCTAAGCCGCGGTGCTGTCTCGAATCTCCCACTCCCCCGCAAAAACACTACTTCCTAACCCCCTGGGTCTTCATCCGCTGGGTGCGCCTCCCAGTTCTCTTTGAGGAACCCGAGCTCGCGACTGACTGGGGGAGGGGAGGCGTGTGGACCCGAGTGGGGGGGGGGCTCCG